TGGAGGAATGATGCTGAAAATACAGAAATATCACATCACAGAAATACATTACAGTTTAACAGATATTCACACAGAAAACAGCTGTTTTAAATTATAATAGTATTTCAAAATATTAGTTTTTTTCTATATTTTTGATCAAATAAATGAAGCCTTGATGAGCAGAAGAGACTTTAAAAAACATTTAAAAATGTATTGATCCCACAGTTTTGAATGGCAGTGCATATATTTTATAATATAATCTTCTGTCGACTTGTTCAAGAAATGAAAGATTGAGCTCTTTACACACATCACCCAATGATTTTTGTTTTTTCCCTGCAAATATATGCGAGTCTGTTTTTTGCAGGTTTCCCAGTGATCCCTGCGGTCCTGTATGCTGTAGCCCGTCTGCTCTTCCACGATGACAAGTAAACATCACATTTCTGGATTTCACACTTAAAGCTCAACTCTAAAGATGTAAAAGTTCACTCTTAAATCCTGAAATGCCTAATATTTGACGTTTGCTCCAGGTGTTGGATCATGAATATAAACCTGCTGTACATCATACACAGCCCCATACAAGTCGCTCTGCTGGTGAGCTTCATCATCATCATCATCATCAGTGCTGGGGAAAGTTACTTTTAAAATGACAATATTGCGTTACTCCATAAAAAGTAATGGGTTACTTTACTTTAGCATTAATTTTTCTCATCTGGGCTGGGCTCGCTTGTTTGTTTTTAATACAAAAAGTTTTATTTTCAGCAAATGTAAAAGCCCTTTCACGCCAAAAGTGAGATGTACATTTGCGAAGCTAATTTTGAGCTAGTCAAATTTGATGTTTTCACTAAAATTAGTTCATTAAGCCCTCGTCTAGCGATCCCAATGCTCCAAATAGTAATTAAACATCTACAATTATCTTTATTTGTACATTTTCTGAGCACACTGATAGAGGACATTCTCAACATTAACCACAGCAAGTTTGGAGTCTCTAACTCCAACTCTCTAGCGCCACCACTTGTCCAAAGTTGCAATTTCTTTATGCTAATAACTTTTGAACCATAAGGCACAAAATGAAAATTATTTTTTCCTCTGAATCCTTGGCTCATGCCGAGTCGAATGAACAATGAACAAAATTCAAAAATTGCAAGGTTTAGTTTTTTCGCTATTTTTAATTGTTCGTAAAACCTACTTTTTCGAACTAGTCCTAGACGGTTTGTCTGATTCTCACCAAAATTGGCTCAGATCATCTTCAGACCATGCTGGCAAAAAGTTATGGAATTTAAATTGATTCGTCCCACCGTTCTCGAATAACGCACGAACGAATTCTATGAAAAGCACGTAAAAATGGATGTGAGGCTATATCTCCGCAATGGTTTGGTGTATTGGGACCAAACTTGGTGTGTGTTATAACAAGCATGACCTGAGACTACCTGCAGTGTTTCGGCGCAATGCCCCCTAGTGGTCAGGAGATTTTTTTAAATATTAATATTTTTGCTTATAACTTCTGAATGGTTTGGCCAAAAGTCACAAAACAGGTCTCTTTAGATTCGGTGCATCATGCCGAGTCGAACCATACCGAATTTTCGTGTCAGCCATTTTGGGTGTTGGCCATTTTGAATTTCATTAAAAAATGCAATATTTTAAGAACGCTTAAACTTTGTTATTACAAAAATCAATATGCATCTTCGGCACCATGCCCTGATGGCACTCAAAAAGTTTGGGCGCAGCGCCACCTTGTGGTCAAAAGTTATTAGCATTTTTATAAATTGCTTTATAACTTTTGCATACATTATAATAATGTAATGAGACTGATATTTATAGACTCCTTGCATCATGCTGAGAACATCGATACCAATTTTGCCATAATTGGCTGAACTTCCTGTCCGCCATTTTGATTCATGTTGAAAATCTACTTTTTCGAACTCCTCCTAGACCGTTAGTCCAATTTTCACCAAATTTGACTCGGATCATCTTCAGACCAAGCTGGCAAAAGTTATGGATTTCGTGTCGATATACGAAACGGTTTTCGTTTAGAGCATCAACGAATTTGCTGGTTAAGATGCCAAAATGCATCTGAGGATGTATCTCTGCAAAGCTTTGACATATTTGGACCAAACTTTGTATGTGCCATTGTCAAGTCAAGTCAAGTCAAGTCAAGTCTGCTTTATTGTCAATTCTTCCACATATACAGCACATACACACAGTCTGCGTTACTCTCAGACCCTTGGGTGCATACAGATAACATAAATACAGATTAAATACAAAATACAACTATACAAAATACAACTATACAAATATACAAATAAGGTAAAAAATATACAAATAAGGTAAAAATAAGGTCACCTCACACTGACCACGCCACATCAATTTGGTAACAACGCCACCTATTGGTCGAGAGTAATAAACCATTGATTTATTATAAATTATGAAATTTCCAAAAATGCTAATAACTTTTGATTGCATTAGCCTATTGCAATGAAACTGCTCTCAAAATATTCCTTGGCTTATGCCGACAACAGACATACGAATTTTCGCTTAGCAAATCTGAACAGCCTGTCGGCCATTTTGATTTATGCTGTAAACCTACTTTTTTTAACTCCTCGCCACTCGTTGGTCCGATTTTCACCAAAATCGAGTCAGATGGTCTTCAGACTGTGCTGACAGAAAGTTATGGATTTCGTGTTGATAGACAAAACCGTTTTTGTACAGCGCCACTACAAATTTTAGACATAGTGCCAAACTGCATCTGAGGCTATATCTCTGCAAATATTTGACATATTGACACCAAACTTTGTAAGTGCATTTGTCACCTCACACTGACCATGCCACAATAATTTGGTAACAGCGCCACCTGTTGGTCAAAAGTGATAAGCCAATAAATCATATTACTAATGGTTGTATTTATGATTTTTCAGCCATTTCAATTACAATCATCCTAAAATTGCTTTTATTACTCATTGTTGCATTTGGTCTGCAAAATGTTATGGATTTCGTGTCGATGGATGAAACCGTTTTCGTACAGCGCTGCTACAAATTTTAGGCACGGTGCCAAAATGACTCTAAGGCTATATCTCTTCAAAGCTTTGACATAATGACAACAAACTTTGTGTGTGCCATTGTCACCTCACACAGAACACACCAAAATGATTTGATTACAGCGCCATCTGTTGGTCAAAAGTGATAAGCCATTTAATCATATTACTAGTGGTTGTATTTATTTATTCATTTAAATTGGCTGAAATGGTTTGGCTAAAAATAACAAAATTGGTCTCTTTAGATTCGGTGCATCATGCCGAGTCGAACCATATAAAATTTTCCCATGTCAGCCATTTTGGGCGTCGGCCATTTTGAATTTTGTAGTTTAATGCTATATTTTGCGAACACAATAACGTATCTTTACGAAACTTGGTATGGGTCATCAGCACGATGCCCTGAAGGAGCCTGAGAAGTTTCGAGCCAGCGCCACCTAGTGGTAAAATCAAATGTTTACATGCTTATAACTTTGGGTGTGGTCTACTTATTTTCACGGGAGTCACCTTTTTAGACTCCTGAATCCTTGCAGAGTCCAAACATGCCAGGTTTTTCCTTATGGTTTGTGCAGCATTGCATTTTAGCACTTAAAAAACATTTGCCAATATCTTAGAAACCGTTACTCCGATCGACATGAAACCACCGTAGTTTTCTGTTCTCATATATAAAAATGTCTATAACTCCAAAACAAAATGAGATATTTTCACCAAATTTGAGACACATATGTATGGGCACACTCTAAGGACACATAAAACATTGGGTGGGAGTGTGCCTCTTGGTGGCGCTATAATTGAACAAAACATGAAATTGCCATTGACTACAATAGAGTATTATGATATAATATGCTATATTTCACGAATGCATTGGTGTACCATTACAAAACTTTGTATGTACCATCGAGACCATGACTTGAAAGTACTCAAATAGTTGAGACAGTGCCACCATGTGGTCAAAATTTATAATGAAATTTCAAATAAATGCTAATAGCTTTCTGTGAATTTTGCCTATTGTAATGAGACTGGTATTAATAGATTCCTTGGTTCATGCTGAGTACAGTGAATCCATTGTTGCCATAGTCAGCCAAATTTCATGTCCGCCATTTTGATTTTCTTAAAAACCTACTTTTTCGATCTCCTCCTAGACCATTGGTCCGATTTTCACCAAAATCGATTCATATCATCTTCAGACAATGCTGACAAAAATATACTTTGTATACCACAGCAACAAATTTGAGGCATGATGCCCAAAGGACTCTGAGGCTGTATCTCTGCAAAGCTTTGACATAATGACAACAAACGTTGTGTGTGCCATTGTCAGCTCACACAGAACACACCAAAAGGATTTGATTACAGCGCCATCTGTTGGTCAAAAGTGATAAGCCATTTAATCATATTTCTAGAGGTTGTAGTTTAGATTTTTCAGCCATTTCAATTACAATCATCCTAAAATTGCTTTTATTACACATTGTTGCATTTGGTTGGATGCTCCATGCCATGCTTACCTCCTCAATTTGCCTCTGGAGTGCTTGGCCCCTTGATTACTTGATTAGTCTTCAGTGTCACATGATCTTCAGAAATCATTCTAATATGCTGATTTGCTGTTAAAGAAACATGTATTATTATTATTATTATGTTGAAAACAGCTGAGTAGAATTTTTTCAAGTTTCTTTGATGAATAGAAAGTTCAGAAGAGCAGCATTTATCTGAAATAGAAATCTTTTGTAACATTAGAAATGTCTTTATCATCACTTTTGATCAATTTAAAGCATCCTTGCTAAATAAAAGTAATAATTTCTATAATTTCTTTCCCAAAAAAAAATAAATAAATAATAATAATAATAATGACATTGTTAAATGTAATCTTTGGCAAATCTCCATTTTCATACCATACATTAAACTCTTATGATGCTTAAATTCACTTGTAGCATTTAAAACAACTGCTATTAAATTTTAGGGTTTTTAATTATTAAAATATTATTTTTATATTCATTTTTTATTATTTAAATTAAATAGTACAGAATTTCAATATTGCCCATAATGTACAAATAATTATCTGCCAGCATATTATAGAATATTAATTCTATAATACAGTTAAAATTCTAATTTATATTTCAAATTAAAGTTAAAAACTGCCACGATAAATTCTTTGCACTTTTTTTTACCACTTTAAATTTAAAGTCCACATGAACTAGAAGTTGCGATCGACTTTACTTCCGTATTGTGATGTACTTCCGAGAGAAATGGAATATTGAACGAGAAAAAGGAAAGAGGGCGTGGCTTGTTTTTCTACTACAAACTGATTGGATGTAGTAAAGTAGGCGTTTCATTCGGAACAACACTGGAAGGGCGTTTAAGGATGTTATGCTCAAGCCCAAACGTCAAACTGCCATCATCAGAGAAGGTCCGTCATTTCAGAGGGGAGGTGCATTTTTAGATTTGGATGAAAGATTACAAAGGCAAACAATTTTTTTAATGGATTGACTTGCACAGATGAATTGTTCACCACAAATATACCAGTGTGCGCTAACAAAATAAATATAGTCAAATTTGATTTCATGTGTACTT